CTAGATTCGATGCATGTTTTAGACCTGAACGATAACAAAACAAGTGTACATTCGAATTAGAAAAACCGAAAAACAAAACTTTCTGCTTCACCCAGAATCCGTCGCATCATCAGCTGCCATCTTTCTGCAGTCGTCAGAAAAGAATTCCTTTTTCTTTTCCGTCATGACAATCTCATTTCTTACACGAAGATAAACAACAGAATGTCAATTGTGACAACAAACAGATAATGTGCGTCTAAGCTCCACCCTTTTTTATTCCAAAACTGCTTTCATATGAAAGCATGATAAATATTGTTTTAAATTGTTCCAATTAGTATCTTCATTTTTATTGTTTTTACCCCAACAGTTCGGCTGATACGTTCTCAGGTTTTCATCAGTTATTTAAACTTTCTCTATCAGCTTCTTGTTTTATGTAATTGCTAACACGGAAGTTGATTAATAATTCCAAAGTTCGCTTCATAATTATGGGCTAAATTTGAATCTGAAATATTTGCTGTATAATATTAAATCTAATATAAAATATTTGCTGTATTCTATATGATTAATATTCACCACTGAATTAAGTGCATTGACAAGCAGTGAGATTATGCTGAAAAATTAATATCAGTTCTGTAAAGTAAATCTTTTCAATATCTGTCTATATCTCTGAGATGAGGTATTACTATTATTTACATTATCTACATTATTCGGACTGTTATCCTCATCTTCGTTGCCATATTCACAATGTTTCGGCCGTTGTACGCTTTGGCCTTTTTTCAGGTGATTAAAATTTCCAAATTGATTTTATTTCGTCCACCGGGGTAGATTGTTCTAGTTCCACGTGCCATGCACTTGAATTTTATTGACAGTTATTTATTTAACTCAACTCTCCAAAGTTTTTTGGGTTCCCCATGCTGTAAATTATTAACTCAACGTCAGTTTTTTCTCATTATTAGTATTTACGGCCTAATGTACGAATATTTTTAGATCTCAAATCTGTTTCTGGTATGTATGTATCCATATTGTATATATATATATATATATATATATATATATATATATATATATATATATATATATATATATATATATAAGGTCTAAAATGGAAAAAACCTCATATTTTTAGCCTATTTCGGCAGGCAAAATATATCGGTCATCTGTCTTATCAACCCCGGTGTGGACTGAGTTCAAGTTCGTCTCTATACAGTGAAGGAGGGGTGAGAAATAGAATTTAACTGTGAAAGCTAAAAAATTACTCTGTCGAAAAACTAAAACAAAATTTATCCATTTCAATATTTCAGTCAGACGAAAGGCACGAGACAGTAGTCATGGGAGGTGGGACGTATTTGTCTTAAAAGGGAAGAATTTTTAAAATGTCGACCTAAAGACAAATTTCCATAATATAGGTTTTAATTTACTTAGCATATTTTCTTAATATTCACACCCCTCTAACTCTTCAAATGTCGAATGTTCACATTTAATTCTAATTTCATTATATTGACACGACAGACGACCAATATCTTTGTCTGCCATATGAAGTAATTTTGGATTTTATTGTTTATTAATTATATGGCTCTGTATTAATAAACGGATTTTTTTTTTGTGGATTTTTTTATATTATTAGGAACCAATTTGGATTATATACCAACGGTTTTTGTTACACCCTATATATATATTATATATATATATATATATATATATATATATATATATATATATATGTATGTATGTATGTATGTATGTATAGGTAATAATCCGGAGATACATAATCTAAGTGAATTCTAATAATATAAAATATTAAAATCGAGCGACAAAAGAGAGTTTAATGTATTTAGTAAAAATATCTTATATATAAATTAAATACATAGGAATTTAAAATTACCTCATTGTTCACTATGTAATTTAAATTGTAATTTAATTTTTCACTAGGTGATTTTAAATTTACATATATATGTGTGTGTGTGTGTGTATATATATTTACCAATATATGTGTATGCATTTATATATATTTTTGTGATAATCGGTTTAATTGGTTTTGCAATTGGCTATCTTCATGCAATGTTTATTAATGTACATATATATATATATATATATATATATATATATATATATATATATATATATATATATATATATATGCACATATTGAAGGACCACGTTTCATATTCCATTTTAAGGAGTAAATTCCACTCGGATAGCTTCTTCCGAAGAACCTCTGATTTATGGAACAGAATCCTAGGAGAACAAAAATTACGCCACTTACTCTTACCGTTTTGCAGTAAATTTTTTGACCTCATATAGAGGAAATTTTAAAAATATATATATATATATATATATATATATATATATATATATATATATATATATATATATATTTATATATTATATGAGAGTTCGACAGTTGAACAATCTGGTCGACTGTTAAAATTTAACAGACCCCCTCCCCACACGAGGGATGGAAAAAAAAAAAACATTTAAAATTTACCGTAGGCTCGGACAAAAATATTTAGAACCCGTATAATCGGGTTTAGGATCTTTCTACTCCCGGAAGAAATTTTTTGCCCTTCGGCAAAAAAAAATGAGGGTTCCCCTCTGCTCAAGGCAGAGAGTTCGACAGTTGAACAATCTGGTCGAAATGTTAAATTTTAACAGCCCCTCCCCATACGAGGGATGTATAATTATTAACAAGGCCGAGTTTACTGTGGGTCTCTCCGAGCCCGTAGGTTCGGCCAAAAATATTCCGAAGAACCATGTAGATAATCGGATCAGGGGTTGTTTACCTCCCGGAGGAAACTTTGCCCTTCGGCAAATTTTAACTCGTCCGGGTTCCTCTCTGTTCAAAGCAGAGAGTTCGACAGTTTAACAGTTTAGAGCACTAAGACTGATATGTGTTTATTTCTTGTAAAAATTTATGCATTTTTTACTTTTAATTTACTAGGACAGTGCTCATTGTAAATGCATTGTTGATTTTGCCACAAAGGAGTTTTTCATCTGATTTCATGATAAAAAAAAAATGGACCAAAAATTAAAGAGGAAAGAAACGTTTCATTTTCTTTATACAATAGAATGTTGTTGAGAAAACTCGATGCATATGCACACAGATTTATTGTCTGCTTGTTCTGAAAATGTTAAACACAGCCAACTTTTTCTGGCATTTTTTCTCCTGAAAATGATGCTACTTCTGCTCTTTCTACTAGACCTATTACAAGGGGTTAGAACAAATAACTAAAAAATCAATCCATTAGGACAACATTTCACGGGATATTCTCAGAGTGGATTGAATAAAAAGAAAAAGACAATAAATGTACAAACTGATTTTTCGATGGTCGTCTCCACTATCTCTATCTATAAAAAGCAGGATGTGTGTGTGTGTGTAACGAATGAACGGCCACAATTTTCGACGGATTTGCACCAAAATTTACATGCACATGCTCCAAGTTAGCGGGAAGGCCAAGACCGACTTTGCATTTCCCAACTCCCATCGATAGTGGAAATAATCAATTTTTTCATGCTTCTATGGCAGTTTTCATGTAGTTTGCGGCCATTTTATACCGACCAGAGTCAGAGCCTATAGCTGGCTGCCACGAATAAGCAGGAAGATTCTATTGGCCAGCGTGAGAGCCAACAGCTGACTGGCACGAATGTTAACTAGCATGCAAATAAACGATAGCTGCATTCGTCACAAGTGGGAAAAATTTAAATCTGCATGGCACTTTACTCCAATTGGCTCATTCGCTTGCTTAAACTCAACGTTGATTCTGATTCCGCAGAACTGGGTTGGGTGTGAAAAAGTATTTGTTGTTAACATTCTTTTTCCATTAGGTTTTTCCAGTGACGAGTCCTTTTTTTAAAGCTGATCGTTTTGTGTTCATTTTGTTTAGTTCTTTTTCGTAACAGATTTAATGTTTAGTATAGAGCTTAGAAAAAATTCGCAGTGTGAGATAGGCAAGAAGTAAGGCATGTAGCAACATCAGCACGGCAAAGGGCACTCCTTTAAAGGCAAGGAAGGGCAAAAATATTTTAAGTCAAGTGATAGCGATTGCTGTATGAGTCGTACGTTTTTTGAATCAAGCACGGGCAACGCCGGGCCATGCTACTAGTTGTAAATAAAATTCATATTTTCTTTATCTTTTCAATCTGGGCTGGGCAGTGTACTTGGGTTCAGTGAAAAAAGGACAAAGAATAACCGAGAAGTACTAAAAATACGAACGAGACGAGATTTCCCTAGACATGAGCAGTGGAACGAAATTTGTTCCCGTAGATTAAAATAAAGGGTTTCAGTTTGACATCTCCTGTAGGTTACACAGATCGGGGTACACCTGATGAAGGCTATAGAGCAAAACTGCTGAAACGTTGTGATAACAACAACAAAGATGAGGACAATAATAGGCTTGTAAATAATAATAATAATTCTACATCTTTGTTTAAATTTATTTATGTTCGGTGTTTTTTTTTGTTTTTTTTTATTCGTGTTGCAAAATTGAACTACGGAAACGCCACAAAAAGCTTCATTTTTTGTTTTATTTCCTCTTTCCTATATTAAAACATTGCTATTTTTAATTTTTTTTTTTTTTTTAGAATCTCGCATAAGGTCAGAAGATTTTTCTTCTATGATAGATGAATCTTTTGTCTGATGTCACAAAAATACACGTGCGTTTATAAGAAAACCAACAAAATGTGGCTCCTGAAAACCTCGCTCAGCAATAAATACGAAATCCAAATCAAATAGAAACACACTGAATGACATTCAACTAATTTTTAACGTAATCCCCCTTGTTGGTTTTACAACGTTTCAGCCGATTCATTCTTCGGTCTTCTGGTGGGATTGTTTCCTTCTGTTTTTTTGTTTGTTTTTTTTGTGTGTGTGTGTGTGTGTGTCAGTTGTGATCCGTTGACAAAAAAAATATAAATGCAGCTTAAGGATCTAAGAATATCGGACAAAAATATCGCGTAGGTAGGACGGAAAATGGATCGATCAAAAAATTTAAAAACTGGTGAGAATAATTATAACATCTTAAGCCTTGCGGCGATATCACGTTGAAACATCGGTACCCGTATGATCACCGGAGTTAAGCAACGTCGAGTTTGGTCAGCACCTAGATGAATGACCGCTTGGGAATACGAATTGCTGTAACCTTGGATGTGAGGGTGGTGCAATGGATGGTAATTGTTAATCAGAGAGCAGAGTTCCAATTCCAGTCTGGTTCGTTATATTCACTTAGGCGCAAATACCTTTGATAAAGGAATTATTCTACATCTCCCTCAGCTATGGATTAATTAGTAAAAATTGTGTCACTCAAACAATTATTAGATTTTGGAATTATATTTTGGCCATAGAGATTAATATGTCGCTAAACGAAAACAACCAAAAACATTAAATATGGTGGGGGGGGGGAGTTAATCGTACCCAAGTTGCCACCATAAATTGAATAATAATGGTTTTTACAGTCTCGCTTAGAAAAGAAATTTTAAACGAGCCCATGCTAAAGGTAAGGATGGTTCTGAATTTGTTCAGGGCCTGGTAATGAATGGAATAACTTCAAAGCCCTTTAAGTTTAGATTGTTTGTGGATTCGTAGAGAGCCTGGATTGGTAAAGCATATCACCGAAAACATCAGAGGAAAAGTTTTGGACGGATCGACCAACTAAACTAATACTTGTAAAATCTCCGATACACAATCAGGACCACTGCTATCCCTGCCGTCACAAAGTGCGATCAGAAATTTCTTGGCCTTTTCTATTATTCTCTAATCTTCTTTACAGCTTAATCCAATAAAGGATCAGGATTTACAAACCCTCCCCATGACCTTGACATTTTTAATTCCTCATCTTCTTCCGTCTTGTAAAATGTATTTTTTTTTTTAATGAATTCTTTCTTCTATTATTCTTTCTTTTTCTAATGTTTACCCCCGTAAATCTTCTCACCACCCCCCAATTTCTTATTATTTTAAGTCTTTATTTAATCAACATTTTTTTCTCATTTTCTTATTTATTATATTTGTTCATTCTTCCGGTCCTTTTTGTATTCTTTTGACTTTTCCTTTTCATTTCCTCTCAAATGTCGAGCCACACACACACACACACACACACACTCTCTCTCTCTCTCTCTCTCTCTCTCTTCCCTCTTAAAATTTAACTTCCTTTACATTTTTTTCTTTCTCTCTTCCTTCTAATTTTCTTTTTTCTTTCTTTCATTCATGTGTTGTTTCTTTCTTTCTTTCTTTCTTCGTTTCTTTCTTCCTTTTATTTTTTTTAATTTACCTTTCTATCTTCCTTCTTTGTCACTTTCTTTTTTTACTTTTTTTCTTCCCTTCGTCTCGCTTCTTTCCTTTTCTTGTCTTTTCCATTTTTCTCTTTTCATCCTTCATATTTTTTTTCATTCTTTGTATATTTTATCTTTTTCCTTTCTTCCACCCTTTTTTCTTTTTTTTTTTCTTTTTCATATTTTTATATTTTTCTTTCCTTTGTTTGTTTCTTTTTCTTTTTCCGTCTTCAAATTTTTTACCCCTTTTTTTTTCTTTAAAGATAACATAAACTTTCTTTTCTTCACATTTTTTCTTCCTTTTCACATTATATTTCCTTTTTATTCAAATTGCTATCATCTTTTGAATAAGTTATCTCTCTTTCTTTCTCTTCGTTCTGCAGTTATTTCTTTTCTTTTTTTTCTCTTTTTTTTTCTCTTTTTTTTGCTTTAGACATAGTTTTCATCATTTCTTTTCGTCTGTCCTTTTTGTAATCACGAATTTTTCTTTCGTCTTTACACTATGTCATTCTTCTTCTTCTTCTTCTTCTTCTTTTTCTTTCTCTTTTTCTTCTTCTTCTTCTTCTTTCTTTTCTTCTTTTTCTTTCTCTTCTTTTTTCTTTCTATTCTTCTTTTTTCCTTCTCTTCTTTTATTATATATCATCATCATCATCATCATCATCATCATCATCTTCTTCTTCTTTCTCTTCTTCTTCTTCTTCTTCTTTCTTTTCTTCTTTTTCTTTCTATTCTTTTTTCTTTCTATTCTTCTTTTTTCCTTCTCTTCTTTTATTATATATCATCATCATCATCTTCTTCTTTCTCTTCTTCTTCTTCTTCTTCTTCTTCTTTCTCTTCTTCTTCTTCTTTTTCTTTCTCTTTTTCTTCTTCTTCTTTCTTTTCTTCTTTTTCTTTCTCTTCTTTTTTCCTTCTCTTCTTTTATTATATATCATCATCATCTTCTTCTTCATCTTCTTTGTCTTCTCCTTCTTCTTCTTTCTTTTCTTCTTTTTCTTTCTATTCTTTTTTCTTTCTATTCTTCTTTTTTCCTTCTCTTCTTTTATTATATATCATCATCATCATCATCTTCTTCTTCTTCTTTCTCTTCTTCTTCTTCTTCTTCTTCTTCTTCTTTCGCTTCATTAATTTGATTACATCGCAGTCATTCCCAACTCTATTTATCTTTCCGTTATGCCTTTTCAGCCTACTTCACATCTGTTTTTGACTGTCACTTGATTTTTTTCCATCGAACATTTCTTTTTTCGTCTTTTTTTTTTTTTTTTTTTGTCTTGGTGATTTTTCTCCCCTGAGCCGAGATTAAACGCCCTGAGCCAGTAAACAACATCCGACGACGTTTGCTGTCCGTCCGACCCGCTGGTTTTAGACTGGGGCCAACAGGAAGAAACAAGATCAACGCTGGCTCAACATCGTCGCCATTTTGTTTAGGTTGCTTTTCAACAGAGTCGAGGCGAGAGAAAATTAATGGCGGGAAACGAGCAAAAGAGATAGAGAAAGAAAAGTCAGAAAAATAATGGCGGAAGATTATTTTTTAATATTTAATCGTTGTTTTCGGGAAAAGAAAGTGGAAGGGAAGTCAGAGATGAAGAGATCAGACGATAAAGGGGGAAAATGTTGGATACTATCGAAGGAAATATGAGACAGAAAATAAAAATGATTTCCTGAAAAAGGAAAAGAAAAAATCTGGCGATTAAAACAAAACAAAGAAATTAAAAAGAATAGAAAATGTTGAAAAGAACTCAAAGATGGAAAAGATCATTGATCCCGTTATAGTCGAGTAGTTAACTCGCTGGGATTGTAATGTGTGGTTTCGATTCTTGTTGAGTATTTAATAAATGTGGCCTTTTATCCAAAGTTGGTCTTGTTGAAGAAAGCGACTCTTTCTATCGATTTATTATCTTATAGGTTATTGTAAGTGAGTAATGTTTTTTACATTTATCTATTTTCTTTTCTTTTTTTTTTAACCAGAGTTGATGGAGTTTAATTTTTAAAATGACGAAAGTTGGCAATTATTGAGAAAAAGGTGAAGAAAGACCTCAAGAGAAGCCCGAATAAAAACGTGGAAATAAAGATAACATTTAATTCAATAATGCGACCGGAAACACATAAATAAATCATTAAATAAAAAAAGAATAAAAGAAATAAATATGAATCCTATCCTTTTAATCTGTATTTATTCGTTCTCCGTGTATATCTTATATTTTACAAGTACGAGTCAGCGGTTTCTCGTCTTTAAAACAAAACAAAAAAATACAAAAACAAAAACAAGCCTTTTCTTCTGCTTTTAAATCTGTAATATTTAAACTTAACTCACTTTATTTATTGCAGGGATAAATTCATGAAATTTACAGTTATAGTCGATCATGGCCCTCCACAGCTACCTTTTAAATATATCAAAATTATGAATTACTATGATTGTTCTTCAGAATTATCTTTTGATTGTTCACACGTCGTCAATAATAATAATAATAATAACAATAACTAATACTATCTTTCTGAAGTGGTTTCCTGTTGCCTTTCCCCGATTTTTAATTCTTTGCAGGACTTTTAAAACGAGTCCTTATCATTCTCAAACATTTTAGAACTAACTAGTTAGTCTTACTTAATTCATCATGTTACTTATGCAGATACTGTTTCGGTCGATATATTCTCCAGCTTTCTACAATTTGAGTGACCAGCATACTGAGGATTCGTTAGAAAAAGGGGCATTTGTTGAAATTATACAACTTTTGAACAATTCAGTTACTCACAAGCTTTGCCATTAGAATTGATCTGTTTCTCAACCGCTTGCACCTCAAATGCTGGTTTTCCCGCCATTTTAGCAATTTCACCTTCTCTCGTTATTCTCTCTCCTCAAACGTCTCTTTCCCCTGCCACACACACACACACACACACACACACACACACACACACACACACACACACTTATTGTTCTCCATCCTCCACTAATGTGCGCCTATGACAACGAGGTCTCTAAATTGTAAATAAAATATCGGATTCCTTGTCTAGAATTAACGACCCAAACTAATGAATTCTTTACGAAGTGGTTGTTACTTGGAATTTTGAGCAAGTTAATGAAAGAAATATCTAGTAGCTTATTTCTTACCTTAGATGGAGATCGGCATTCGATAACAAATTTTTGTGATGCCAACGAATACTCGTTGTCACTTTCGTAATGCTCATAGTAGTAGAGACTTTGTAATGGCAGATACAACTATAGTAACGCCGTTGAACAATGCTGGTGTCAGACGCCTTCGAATATCACTCGCACTAATAGTACTTGCTCGATAATATTCGCTCGAATAGTAATCCGTATGGTGATCCGAATAGAGAAATAGTATAGTGAATAGAGTAGAGAATAGCGGTTCCGTCTTATTCGAATCCAAACCTTATACATGCAGACACACATACATACATACACACACAGACACACACACACACATATATATATATATATATATATATATATATATATATATATATATATATATATATATATATATGTTGTGACATTGCGCGATTTATCTATCGTATTTAATTTATTGCGTTTCCTCTATGGTCACGCGGTCTACTTAATTCAATAATCGCTTGTGTTTGCTCACTGACGATCTATGTTCGAACTCAAGTGTCAGCAGCCACACTTTATTCCTATATAACAGTTTGAATAGGTTTAGCAGATGTCAAGAATTTTCATTACTTACTTTTATGTACAATAAACAGAGATCGTATCTAATAAGTGGACTGAAAGTGAAAATGCTCCTCGTGATATCAATATCGAGTTCATGCCTGTGTATTACACTAATAACACACTGTTATTCAAATCACCAACTTGCTTTGAATGACTCAGACTCACTCCAGATATACGATCCATCGCTAAAGATTCTGTAAAAAGGATCAGTTCCTTGTACCATTCCAGAAAGTACCGGGCTCCTCCTGTCATGCTCTATCTGAACAAGAACCAGATCAGACCAAAAAATGGAATACTGCTGTCATATATGGTTTTTCATCGATAGAGTTTAACGCCGCTCCGCGTCCTTGTGGGTGGAATTATTTTCCATTCTAAAAACTCCTTTTAAACAGATGAAACACCGCAAGTTTCTCTATACACAATCGCTATTTCCATGGCAAATATTCGGACGAACTATATTACTTAGTACCACCAGTTCTGACCTCCACAGCTAAGACCAACTATGCCACGTACACTGGCACGAATCATCCCCATTCCCTTCGTATTCCATTAGTAAGGAGGAAGTTCTATACAGTCAATTTCTTCCCAAGAACCGCTATTTCATGTAACAGACTCCCGAAAGGATGCTTCCTCGATTGCTCCAGTCTAAACCTCTTTAAGAGTAAACAGCTATCTTTCTTCCATATCCTCATAATCAAAAAACCTCCTCTTACGTTCATATAACAAAGTCACTCAATAAACGTCTACCGTGAGTCTCTTGTGGCTTGTATTGGGTGAATAATTAGTTAAAAAGAAACATGGTCAAATAAAAAATATGCTAAACGAGGTGAATATGGAAAAGTAAATAAAACAGCATACGAAATGATGAGTAAATAGTTAAAAAAAAAATTGGAAAAATGAAAAAACAAAAATCCCGTGGGTACGGCAGATTTTGCAAGTACACGACGATATAGCCAGGTGCATAAAGACAGTGTAACACTAATGTTAAGGAGGAGGTAGGCTCGCTTAAAAAATCAACATCAAATATTAAAGAAATTCGATACTTTCTCGATACTTTGTTAGCCAACTAGGACGTTACCATAGATAGATAGATAGATAGATAGATAGATAGATAGATAGATAGATAGATAGATAGATAGAAATTAATAGATTGAGATAGATATGAACAAAGTGAGATAGATAGATAGATATGGATATGAAGAAATTGAGATCGATCGATAGATAGATAGATAGATAGATAGATAGATAGATAGATAGATAGATAGAAATTAATAGACTGAGATAGATAAGAAGAAATTGAGATAGATATCTAGCTTGCTAGAAATTAATAGATTGAGATAGATATGAACAAACTGAGATAGATAGATAGATAGATAGATAGATAGATAGATAGATAGATAAAAATTAATAGATTGAGATAGATATGAACAAACTGATAGATAGATAGATAGATAGATAGATAGATAGATAGATAGATATGAACAGACTATCTAGCTAGATATCTTAGATATATTTATATAGATAGATATGAATAGACATAGATAGATAGATAGATAGATAGATAGATAGATAGATAGATAGATAGATAGATAATGAATAGATTGAGATAGATAAATAGATAGATATGTGATATATAAATCAAAAGTCTATAGTAAGGAACAGACTGAGATGAGCAAAGATATTAATGCATATATATATATATATATATATATATATATATATATATATATATATATATATATATAATGAGCAAGAATTTTTTAGCGGGGCTTGTATGATGAAGTATGTGCGTGTGTGCGTATGGTTTGTGCATGCGTACGTCGTTGCGCATGCGTCGATTTCGTACCCGTCAACTCGAAAAGTCTTAACATTGGTGCCAACCTGGAAGGACGTTCACACTTTGGCCACGAAACATCACACTTCATCAAGACAGACCAGCTGAGTCCCCTCCCCGATGAAGACACACATCACAACATTGTTTTCTCCTCACAGAAGTAACTTTCTGCTGTCACCTTCTCTCGTTTAGTTATGTCACGCCCCTAAATATACCATGATTCTTCAACAATCGCTGCCAGGCATTTTGGTTTTAAGATACGCACACAAATATACGTATGTTAAGAGGTTGTAACGAAAATTTTCTATTTTTGCGTTTTTGTTTGTTTGTTGTTGTTTTTTTTTTTGTTTTTTTTTCCTTTTCTTTTCAAGAAGTTGAGGAGAAATGAGCCAATCATGTGTAATTGAAGAAAAACGTATGAATTTGTAATGAGAGACAAAAATGGAGGAATGATTGGTAAAGGCGGGAAGAGTCATGAAACTGTTTAATTGGAAATTTCTACCTCCTTCTTACTGCAGTGATATGTGTGTATTGCGTGTGTCTTTCGGGGGGTTTTTTTCTGAAAAATTAAGGAAAAAAACAATATATAAGAAGTAAAGAGGAGAAAGTTTGTAATAAGGAAAATGGCAAAAAAGGGGACAAATCGAGAAAAGAAGAAAAAGAAGAAATTAAAAAGAGAGAAAGAAAAAGCAAGGCTGAAATGACGGAAGAAGTAAAAGAAGAAGAAAAAAAGAAGAAAAG